CAGACCAGAGAAGAAGAAAACCTTTCTTTTGTAACACAATAATGCCAGGCCCTGTACCGACTTTAAGATCCACATATTGCCAGTCTTGGCTTGACTGATGTACCACACCTTCTGATAGTTCAGATTTGGCTCCCTGTGACTTCTGTTTGTCTGGGCCAGTGAAAGATGGACTTCAGGAGCAAAGTAACAATGCTGTCCTAGCAGCTGTGAAACAGTGCATCACTTCTGTTGGTGCAGATTTTACAAGAATGGCATGCAGGATCTTGCTGGAGAAAATGCACAGCTAATGATGGTGACTGTTGAAAAATAGTGTTTTGTAGCTGAGAATTTACTCTATCAAATAGTGTTATTGTGCTCTTTTTTATCTGTTGTGGTTTCCATGGAAGTAAACAGGAAGCATTACTTTCAGAGCAAACTACATACCACATGGCAGAGCTGTTTGAATGGTTTGTAGTGGTGGAATAGCTGTATCCTTATAGGAAAGATTTGAATTACAGGGTATTATACATGATTTCCTATTACGTGAGCTCAGCTTTAAGACATAAAACTTAGAGGAATTTTTACAAAGAAAACCAAATGTGGAGAGAGGATGTTTATCTTTAAAAGGGATTATGCAACAATCCCAGGAGCCTCTTTTACTCGAGAAAATGTGGCCAGCAAGTTCTGTGTCAGACCGCAATACATGGAACAGGGCTGCAGCTTGTACAATAGGCTTTTCTAGCTGACTCTTCACCTCATCAGAGTTCAGTCAGGGCAATGTGAAATCCTGGACACGTGGGTGACAGACTGGATGCTTAGTTACCTACTTCTGCATTCTTGCTGCTTCTGAGCAAGCTCATGTTTCATCTTGCTGGGCTCCTCTGCAGCTCAGCAAATACTCCTTTTCAAAGGGAAGTGGTGTGTACCATTTCACTGCAAAAACAAGGGGATGCTGCCTGAGTAATTCCAAGCAGTCTGCAATTCTTCACGAGCACACCTATAGACCTGTGCAGGAAATGGGCCTTGGTCCAGGTGAGTTGCTTAGGCACAGCCATCCTGCTTCCAGTTGCCTTATGGCCCAGTGGGCTCTTTGCACCTCCTCTGTTGGAGCGGCAGGCACTGGGGACCGAGGTCTGTATGGCAGAATCAAGGCTGAGCTGCTCTATTTGCATAGTATCTCATTGAGAGACAAGGGCATGCTTTCTGCAGAATACCCTCAGCAGTATTGGCATTTCCTCACCTTCCTGAAAAAGTTTTATTTGGTTTCTGGCAGAATCCCAAAGTGGAAGATCAGGGTCGCCAAGATACTCAGTGCTTATTGCTGTTCCAGTACAAGGAACATCGCTGTTGGTCATCATCTTTCCCTCCATGCCACTTTGAGTTCCTTTTGGTCTTTTTAAACAGCAAAGAAAAAGACTTCAGATAATCTAGAGACTGAATACAGTGCTAGTCAAGCATTAATCACATTTGGAATGCTTATTTTAGCAAAACTGTGGGGGAAGAGCTTTCTCTTTTAACAGACAAAAATATTTTTTGTGTCAAGGGCATTGCTAGAATGTTCATGGAATCATAGAATGGCTTGAGTTGGAAGGGACCATGAAGCCTATCCAATTCCAACCCCCTGCCATTGGCAGTGCCAGCCAGCAGCTCAGGCTGCCCAGCACCCCATCCAACCTGGCCTTGAGTGCCTCCAAGGATGGGGTACCCATGACTTCTCTGGGCAGCTGTGCCCATTCAGTAATGAGATTCTTCCTAATATCTAACTAATTTTCCCCTCTTTTAATTTAAAGTCATTCCCCCTTATCCTATCACTGTTAGACTATGTAAATGTCTGTCCCTTTCCTGCTTATAAGCTCCCTTCAAATACTGGAAGGAATGGTGTTGCAGTGTTCCTTTTGGAAAGGCAGATGTCCAGTTTGTTGATGTGAATAATCAATTATTAGCAAAAAAATAATTTGAATCTTGCTTTGATTTCCTTAAGCGAGGAGGGGAATTGTAGTCTCTTCTACCACATTAGAATCTTGGTTTTCCTCAGAAAAAGAAAAAAGGTACTAAAAATAATAAATTTTCTCTTTTTTTATTTTTATACTGCCCATGCAGTTCATGTTTTTGTAAAGGCTGTGGCAGGCAAAGCATTCATTTGCAGCTTACCCTTTTCCTTAGAAATCTGTTTCCGCATTACGGCATGCTGCAGTACAGCCGTGCTTGGCACAGTCTGTGCCACGCGGTGCGTGGCTGTGACAGCCTGCACTGCCTGCCTTTAGCACCACTGCTGTCAGTTTGAACACGACTCCCCACCTATGTGCCAGCTCTGCGTGGGGAAAAATGCAGAGGTTTCAATTGATAGTGATGCATTCCAACCAACAATACGCCTCATTAATCTTTTTCTACTGAGTTTCTTGTCCAGGCTGTTTAGCCTGACAGATCAGCTCATGCAAACATGAATGTATAATATTTAAGTGTTTTTTTTTTTTTTAAATACAAAGGAATTTGTGTCTGGACACTTAAGACTGGGTCAGCAGTTGGTGAAGTATTTCTAAGCAGAAGGGATGGAATGCTTTGCTCTTAATGCCTGACACATCTGTGTGTGTTGGAGAATCACAGAATCATAGAAAGGCTTGAGTTGAAAGGGACCTTAAGGATGATGAATCTCCAACTCCGCCTGCCACAGGCAGGGCCTCCAATCTCCACATTTAATACTAGATCAGGCTGCCCAGGGCCCCATCCAACCTGGCCTTAAAGGAGATGCTACTGGAGGAGACCAGGATTGAAACAAGTCTTTTCACACTGCCTCAAAGTACATGAGCAAATGGTTCAGTGGGCAAAACGTCTGGTGCTCTGGCTGTGTGGGCTTTAGTGAATTCTTAATAAACTCATGGAACAGAGGAGACAGTGGCTCTGCAGTTACTTTGTGGTTTTAAATAAACACACAAACTTCTGACAAGCCATAGTTGCTATAAGCAGGATTTCTGGCATTGAACTTTTCTCTCATCCAGCTGGAAAGCAAAACAAAACCTGGCGTTAATGAGGCAATCCTATTACATTTATCTTTGCATCCCCTTCGAACTAACAAATAAAACTGAAGCCTCTTGAAAGTGTTGATCTGCAGGACAGTAAAACCGAGCACTGCCATCGCTGGTGCTTTGCAGCTCAGCCTCCAGGAAACACAGTGCCTTTAACCAAGGCATGCTGTTACTTTGCATTTGAAGAATCCATTGCAAATCAGAATTTAATCCAGACCTTCAGATTGTACTGAATTGCAGCAGTCCCTGATGCTATTGCCATAGCCCTTGTCCTCATGATGTCACCGGCTGTGGTCCCCAGGGGACACATGGGCTCTCAATGCTCGCTGGCAGCTCCTTTGCTTGCATTTCCTGCTCCAGGCAGGCTGCACTTACTCTTCTGCTGTGCCTTCATTTTAATCTGCTTGGGTTTTAAATATATCATGTGCATATGGATGTCCCAGTGATGCTACAGAGAAAAGGATGGCTGTTGTGACTGACGGGAGAGCCGAACAGTTTGTTCACCAGGCATGTAACGCATTTAGCTGTGCTAGCATATTTATAAATGCTGTATTTTAGCTGGGTGATCTCATCGCCTCTGTGGAAGAGGGGTTATAAAGACACATGCTGGAGTCTTCATGTGTAGGGAAAAACATGGCCTTGGTGGCTCATGGAAAAAAACACGTTTATCACTGAGATGGAGCTGTTGAACTGAAGCCATTTCTGGAGAGACAAGAGAAGTGTTGTGCTTGATGCAGAAATGCTAGACTGAGTGGGGTTGGGCTTATCTTGTGCTCAGTGGAACTTCTAAAACACAGTTTTCAGTGGGGAAAAAAATGTAAGAAAAATCTCTTGTAAGAGACAGAAAATAACAAAAATCCCTCCATTGCATTGGAACGGGTGAAGCAGCACTAGGTGTGTCTGAACCAAACATGCCAGCAGATGAGCACTGCTGTGAATAACAAACTTTGCTGGTTATAGTAACAGCTGTAATGGAACATATTTGTGCTGTTTGTACAAATTATGCTAAATGAACACGATCAAAGTGTGGTAATACACAGTTGAGTTTCTCCAAGTAAACCTAGCTCAGCCTTGGACACACAATATGAGTATTTTCTCCCACAAGGGTTCCTTATTTTCTCAATTCTGCAGTGATGACGATTTACAAGGGAGTTCTGATGGAACACCTCTCTTATGAGGACAGGTTGAGAGAGCTGGGGCTGTTCAGCCTGGAGAAGAGAAGGCTGTGAGGTGACCTGAGAGTGGCCTTTCAGTATTTAAAAAGGAACTACAGGAAAGAAGGGAAAAGACTCTTCAGCAGGGTCTGTGGTGATAGAACAAGGGGAAATGATTTCAACCTCAAAGAGGGTAGATTTAGGTTGGATATAAGGAAGAAGTCTTTTACAGTGAGGGTGGGGAGGCAGTGGAACAGGTTGCCCAGAGATGTGGTTGATGCCCTGTCACTGGAGACTTTCAAGGCGAGGCTGGATAAGACCCTGGGCAACCTGATAGAGCTGTTGTGTTCCTGTTCAGTGCAGGGGAGTTGGACTAGATGGCCCTCAGAGATCTCTTCCAAGTCTAAGGATTCTATGATTCTATGATTCTTTATGCAGCAGAAATCTACACTGTTGGAGTACTCAGTCATATTTTCTTCTCACCGTGAAACCATTTGGAGGGATGCACATGTGAAGCATGGTTTGTTTCTCTTCTTCATGGCCCAGCAAAGCTATGTGTACATGTGGTGCACACAGAGAGGAAATACCTTCCCTGTTTCTTTGCTGGTGTTACCTCACTCCCCAGAAAAAAACCATACCTGAGCCATGCAACCTTCAGAGGCATGGCTGAAATGTAGGGAAACTTTTTAACTGATGTGCCCTTTGAGACAAGATGAAGAGGGTAAGTAACGCAGCGCCAGAATCATTAAACTCTGATGAATAAAGAGAATTTGGTTATAGGGGGCAGGGAAGAAAAAAAGCTTTTGAAAAGAGAAGTTAATGTTGGTGTCTGTCTGCCTTGTAGGTACGTACGTTCTGACAACTGCCCTGCTGCCCCTCTTAGAAAAAGAAGCTGATGCCAGAGTGGTAAGTTTGGGATGCTGTTGGAAAGTGGTGTTTTACTATTCTTTTCTTGTGATTTGTGACAGCATCTCATTGCTTATGTTAGCAATGCAGGATTACTTATAATTCCATGAGCAACTCTAGTATCCTCTTGGATTTTGCCAGCAACGAGCTCCTTCTCCAGTTCTTGCCTGCTGCTCTGAACCCTTCATTGGAAAGCAGAGTAAAATATTTCCTTTAGAAACTTTCCTTTTTTGTTTCCCTGGGGCTAGTTATCTCCTGCAGTGTAGTGCAAAATACTAATAACAGGAGTATAGGCTTAAAAACCTTTATTGGTTTTGGTATTTGGTATTTAGAATAGGACAGAAAGTACATTTTTAACATGAAATTTCCTGAGTTTTATATAGTATCTCTTGTTTCTAATTAGCTTATATAAATGCTAAAGGTATAAACTAAAAATAGTGCTGTTTTGCTGTTTTCTTTCTCCCAGTTTCACTTTGAATGGAAAAAAAGACAAAGAGGTCCCTGATGGAGTCGACACCATTTTGAATGAAAATCAATTGCTCATTTCTTTTTAAAATTAATTCTTCCACTGTATCTCCAGATAAGCTCCATGTACTAGCATGAGCACAAGCACAGTGGGGAATGGACAGGGGAGTTCTGCTCCCAGGGACTTCAAAATGTGGCCTGAGGACCACATTGCGTGCATGAGTAATGACACTGGGGAGTTGTTTGCTTTTCCACTTGTTTTTCATTCATTTGCTTGCAGGTAACCGTCTCTTCTGGGGGCATGCTAGTTCAAAAACTAGACATATCTGACTTGCAGTCAGGAAGTGGGACGTTTGATGGAACTATGGTGTATGCTCAAAACAAGGTACAACCCTAGTTTTGAAAACATAGCCTACCACCTGTTTGCATGGTGACATTCCATCTGCTTTGCACAAAGCCTTCACACACACACACACACACACACAGAACGTTCGCTGTGGCTTTCCCATTGCATTCAACCTGGTCAGAGATACACAGGCAATAATCTTCTGTTGATGTCATGCACTTTTGGTGCATGTCACCTTGGCAGGGGGAGCGTGACTTTGATTTTGGTTCGATTTAAGTCTCAGTGGGAAGCACTGTCTTTAGCTGACAATCCCTTTCTGTTTGCTTGGTTCTTCCTTGCAGTCTGCAGCAAGTAGAAATGGTGAGTAAAAGCAGTGTAACCCCTTTAAAAATAAGCTTGTGGGTATGGTGATTACAATGGTGATCATGATGGTCTCTGCCAAAATTACCCACTAAGCCCAGTCTTGGTGAGCATGGATATATTTCTGCTATACATAAATGCCCTGATATAGCACATTTGGTATAGTTTATTTCCCTGGGAACAAACACTGTGGACAGGATACTTGATGCTAATCTGGCTGTTCTTGCTCTGTTCCAGAGACAGCAAGTTGTCTTGACAGAACAATGGGCAAAAACTCACAGAAGCATCCATTTCTCTGTTATGCACCCAGGCTGGGCAGACACTCCAGGTATCATCTGCTTGACACTCAAACTCTCCTTTTTTTCTAGACTAGTCTAAAAGCAAACAGAAGAGAGACTTTCTGCTAAATTGCTCTAGCAGGTGCAGTCATTTCTTGTCTCTGAACTGGTGCTTAGAGTAGTTTTGTACTCCCTTGGTAGACCTATCCTGCACAATGTCTGCTATCTGCATGGAGCTGGAGAATAATAAGGGGCTGCAAATGATTCCAGCCCCATGCAAATGCACAGAAAAGCTCCAGTGCTTGAAGCTAACCTCTAAATTACATTTGTAACAGGACTATTAAACACATAGAGACAGCTTCTGCCTCTGCGAGCACCAATGTGCAGATGTTGTAACCCTTCAAGGATGTACAGGAAAAACGAGCATGCATCATGTGCACGCCTTGTTCCTCTGCTCTTCCCCTAAACATTTATAGTCATGGAGAAGCAGTGTGCTTGGCTAGACAGCTCTGTCTGAGCTGCAGCTGTTTGTTACTGCCGGGCTCAGCAGGAGGGCCAGCAGGAGGGTTGTGTTCTGCAATATGTTCCCAGCCCCTCACACCCCAGCTTGGGCTGCAGACTAGCAATCCAATATCTGATTTTTTATTTTTTATTTTTCCTGGGGGCACAGTTTTCCAAATTTGTTTCTTACAATAGAAACATTTAAACCCATCTACTTTTTACTTGAAAATTAATCTGTCCAAATCTTAGTGTTACTTTTTCTTAAAATATATTTATTTTGCACATTGTTGATGCATTCCCAAACCTAATGATCCTTAACGTTGTGCCACCACAAAGTTCAAGGGCCATCCGATCCCCTAAAAATAAACAGCTGCAAGGGACAGGCCTTCAGTCATCATCTGTTATATAAAATATAAATAATCCAGTGTTTAAACACTGAATATGTAGTTAGTTTCACCATAAAATTTTGAAATACTGTGCTGCAATTGATTTCCTAAAACAGATGTGAAAATAAGAATTAAAATCTATCAGAATAACTGTTTATTTGGTATTTCTATTTCCCCCATGTTTAACTTCTTTGGAATTGGATCAGAAACCTCTCACTAATCCTGTTCTGACCTCCTGTTAATTTTCTTAGTGCAATTTGACCCAAACAAGCAACTGCTTGATCATCTGGCAGCTTGATGCTATTCCACCGTGGTCACCGTGTGCCTGGCTATGGAGAAATACTTTCCTTTCATTATTTTTGAGAAGCCTTCCCTTCACTGTACACTCACAGTGGCAATTTTAAGCATAATTTTTTTTAATCATAAAAGCCTTGCATGATAGCTCACCATCCCATTGTTCTCTCTAGCTGTGAGGTCATCTATGCCAGACTTCTATCAGAAGATGAAGAACAGCCTGCGCACAGAGGCACAGGGAGCTGATACTGTGGTGTGGTTGGCAGTATCATCTGAGGCAGCAAAGTTACCCAGCGGCCTCTTCTTCCAAGGTAAGAGTCTGTCATTGCGCATCAATGGAGACTGCTAAATTGCCTGCAATTGTAGGATCCTAATCTGGCCTGGAAGGGGATGGAGACTGGACCAGGCAGCTGATTTTCAACGGGTAGAGTGTTTCTCAAAGTTATTCCAAGACTAAAAGTTTAAGTGAGCTCTTAAGAAAGTAAAGAGAATGTCCTGTGAAAGACTGTTAAGCTGCTGTGTTCCTGCTTTTGTCCTCTAAATCAGCTCAGAAACTTCAGAGCATTTTCTTAGGGAAGTTTTCTTGGTTTTAAGTGAAGATGGCTGTTTGCAGAACTGTGCCAAGGGAAGGTAAATCACAGCAGCCAAAACTGCATCTTTTACGATGCTGGGAAAGTAGCAGCCCTCTCACAGAGCGCTGAGGGTTGGCTGTGCTTTGACAGGCTCTTCCTTCCTACCTCTCCATGCTCATGTGAAACTGCCAACTCCCCCTTTCTCTGAAGCCAGGCAGAGATGGAACACAGTGGCTTTTTTGGCATTACTAGCATAGTGAATTTAAATGGAAGAAATAGGCCAGAGCCTCTTCTCTCAGACAGGTGGCAGGTGATGCAGGTCAGTCCACTGGGAGGAAGGCAAAGCTTGGGATAATTGCTTACAGGCACCCCACATTGCATGCTGGATGTCTAATTCCAGTTCACTGGAGCTTCTAGTTGCAGCATGCAGAAAGTTTGGACTTTTTGAGCTGGGTTCACTTCATCCTTTCTGTTCCCTCCCAGGCATCGCACTGGGTTGGTAAACTTTACCTGACCTTTTCCATGTCTTCATGTGGTGCATGCAGAAACGACACCTCCCAGCATGTCATTTCTCTCTATAGCACCAGAATTGCCTTTTTCTGTACTCCTGTCACCTCCTGCTGGTCCTGACTTCTGCTCTTTTTGCTCTGGATCTTAATTCCAACAGTCTCTTGCTTTTGGCCTTGGTCTAACTCTGGCCTTAGTAAACAGGAAACATGCCTTGGCTCTTCAGCTGTAGGTAGTGACTTCTGAGAACTTTGGCATGACTGCTTTTAAGATTGCAAGGGAATTTTTGCGTTGTGTACTTACTGCATAGAGATGAAGTCAGACAGTTTTTTCTCTCCCCCAATGCCCTACGGGAGCCACAGGTTAAAGTGTAAGGTCTTTGGATCCTTCAGTAAAGGATTTAATGTGCTGGAGTCAGTACAGACCCTTCTCTTCTGGTCCTAGACGGCCATTTCCTGAGTTAGTAACACCTTCCCCCCATTTCCTCTGTTCCCTTTTATTCTGTTCCCTTTGAGTGCAAACTAGAGCCAGCATTTCTTTTTCCCGAGGAAAAAAAAAAAAAAAGGTAAGAACATGACTCCTACAACCGGAATTCTCTGCATCTGCCAAAATAAATAAAAAATGTCTGACAGGGTCCTGCTTTCGAAGTCTGGAAGCATCCTTTCTGCGATACTGAGCTCAGCTTTCACACATAGTTCCCAAACTTTAGCACAAACTTCTTGAAGCACCCCCGTCACTTAGGAAGCAGTCCATGTTCAGTGACAGAGACAGGAATGTTCCTCTGCCTGTTTCTCTCTCCTTGCATTTCCCTGAGCAGAGGTTATGTGGTGTGTGCAGCCAGTTACGACATTTGCTCTAGGGAGATCAAACCCCTGCTCTGCTGCCCTGAGAATCCTGATAGGCTTTCAGAGAAATCTGCTACCCACTGTTGGAACAGATTAGTCTCAGCTGGTTAATGCAGAACTTGGACTTCACAAGTAATGGTGCTGCACTAGTGCTCTCACAGTTGTTTCATAGACATCTATGAGCACTTCCATAAGGTTCTTCAGCTCCAAATATCATGCTTTTTGAGAGAAAAAAAATCCCTTCAAATTCACAGTGATACAGCTGCATTTACAGAGTGAGTGAAGAGAACAAGACATGGAAAGCCAGACAAAGTATCACACTGAACAAGTTTGGTCAGACATCTTTATTGTGGGTACATTACTTGTGGCAGTTGAGTAATTAGCAGAAGTTCTTTAGCATGTAGAATTTATCCATTTATTTTTAAGGATGAAAGTAAGCTTTTAAAGGTAGAAAGTAATCCAAACTACAAAGTTCCAAATGAGAAATTTGTGTAGGACTAGAAGCATTATCCAGGAGACAATGAAAAACCCTTTCTGATGCAGAAAATGCAACTTCTACCTTTAAGAATAGTCACAAGCTCCTGGTCTAACAGGAGTTAAAATAGTGACTGAGAGCAGGCATAAACCCCACAGTAAGGCTTCCTTTATCCATCTGCAAATGAGATCTCACTCACCACTCTGAGTCATATTGTGTGAAAGGGCAATTATTCTGGTTCCAGGAAACAAATGAAATTAATTTCTGGTTTGGAAGATGTACATAACTAACATAGAGCTGAAAAATCTCTTTTGTGCTTAAAGAGGTAGATAAATATACCTATTAAGATTTTTTCTTTCTTTCTTCCAGACAGGCAACCAGTCCCTACACACCTACCCTTAGCAAGAACCCACAGCCCACCAGGGGATGAGGAGAAGCTAATGGAGGTGCTGGAAGAATTCTCCCAGAAGTTTAAATCCACTTCTCCAGGATCCCCTCAGTGCCACTGAAGATCATAGAGCAGATCTTCCTGGAAAATATGCTAAGGCACATGGAAGAGGAGGTGATATGGGATAACCAGCATGGCTTCACCAAGGGCACGTCCTGCCTGACCAACTTCGTTGCTTTTTATGATGGCGTTAACTGTGTCAGTAGACAAGGAAAGACCTACTGATGTCATCCGTGTGGACTTCGGTAAGGCCACACTCCCCCATAACAGCTTTATCTCCAGATTGGAAAGAGACAGAGTCCTCTATAACATTCTTCTCTCCAAAGTACATAATTTGTCTTTGAGTGTTTGCTTGCATGACTGAAGGCCAGTATCACTTTTACTCAAACTGAATGCCTCCTTTCATCTCTAATACTGCAAACTGTGGATGTCCCATCCCTGGAGGCATTCAAGGCCAGGCTGGATGTGGCTCAGGGAAGCCTGCTGGTTGGTGACCCGCACATAGTAGGGAGGTTGAAACTAGATGATCATTGTGGTCCTTTTCAACCCAGGCCATTCTATAATTCTATAATAATTCAAAGTGGAAAGGTATGGATTTGATGGGTGGACAGTTCAGTGAACAGGGAACTGGGATCATACCTAGAGAGTGGTGATCTATGTGCTGATGGGCAGATAGAGATCAGTGACAAGTGGTGTTCCTCAGAGGTCAGTACTGGGACTGGTACTCTTTAACATCTTAATTAATCAACAGTGGGATCAAGTGCACCCTCAGCAAGTTTGCAGATGATGCCAAGCTATTTGGTGCAGTTGATACACGTGGGGAACAGGATGCCATTGAGAGAGACCTAGACTGTCTTGAGCAGTGGGCCCAGGAGAACCTCCTGAGGTTCAATAAATCCATATGCAAGGTCTTGCACCTGGGTTGTGGTAACCTCTGCTATCAGTGCAAAGTGGGGGATGTAAGGATGGAGCACCACCGCAAGGGACCTGAGGGAACTGATGGATGGGAAGCTGGACATGAACCAGCAATGGACCCTCGCAGCCCAGAAAATCAACCATATCCTTCCAAAGTAGTGTGGCTGGCAGGGCGAGGGAGATGATCCTGCCTCTCTGCTCTGCACTGTGAGGCCTCACCTGGAGTACTGCGTCCAGATGTGGAGTTCTGAGCACAGGAGAGACACAGACCTGCTGGAGTGCACCCAGAAGAGGGCAGCAAAAATGATCACCTCTCCTGTGAGAACAGGTTGAGAGACCTGGGGCTGTTCAGCCTGGAGAAGAGAAGGTGCCAGGGAGACCTGAAAGCAGCCTTTCAGTACCTAAAGGGGGGCTGTAAGAAGGAAGGGAACAGACTCTTTAGCAGGGTCTGCTATGACAGGACAAGGGAAAATGGTTTCAAACTAAAAGAGAGGAGACACAAGGAAGAGTTTTTTTACAACCTTTTTACAGTGGTGAGGCACTGGAATGGGATGCCCAGAGAGGTGGTGGATGCCCCATCCCTGGAGGCACCCAAGGTCAGGCTGGACAGGGCTCTGAGCACCTGATGGAGCTGTAGGTGTCCCTGTTTGTTGCAGGGGAGTTGGACCAGATGGCCTTTAGGGGTCCGTTCCAACTCAAAAAATCCTGTGATTCTATGATTTTAGCATCACTGCTGATGCAGCATAACCACAAAGCTTTTAATTACACACTAACAGTGCTGTAGTGTACCTTCAGTGGAGGAGAGGAAGGATACCATAGGCCTGTTAAAAATAAATTGTATTCAGATGTGCTCATTGTGGGGAATGGTGGTCCCTGCAAATTTGTTCTGTTTCTGAGAGTTTCACCCACTGTGAGTATGCATGTACTGTCTCAAGACACAGTGAGGATGTAGTCTTTGAATTGGACAGAAAATTTGGGAGGCATTAAAATAAAACCCAAGTGATAGCTCTGAGGTTTGTGAAGTTAACCAAAATCTTCTGGAGGACGTAGCACACAGAGAAATGCAGAGGAGTGTACCTTCAGAAGTCCTCAGGAAATAAATGGTTAAAGTTTCAAATGATATTTAAACACTGTATTTGACAGGGTGGTTGCTTCCTTCAGCGTATGAAGATGACTAGGCTCAAATGTGTTACTGGGAATGCAGAAACTCTTGCATTGCTTGCTTAGTTTAAATGGAAGGATTCTTCACAGCCTTCAGTTTCTATAAATCAGTTTTGGTATGCAGAAATGATCTGCTTCTTCATGTTTAAACAGCAAGAATTTAGGAACGCTGCCAAATACTTTCCACATTACTTTATGGAGCCAGGACTGAATATTATCCTGTTTATGTCAAGACACTATGAAGTAGGAGGCTTTAACACATTCCACACCCAGACATAGTTGGATCTCTCCCCTTCAGGAAGCAGAGAAATGACTCTGTGACTCTAGGCAGGAAAATAAATAGCATACTAAGCTGTACATGCTTGCCATTTCTGTGAAAGATTGGGGAATTGCTTTATCATTACAAATGGAATATGAAGGGAAAGGGAAAATGGGGAGGCACAGGTTTTAGAGGAGAACTCCATCTCCTGATAAGAGAATTTTGCCTGGAACTGTTTTCTTTGCAGACACAAAGGGTAGAATTTGTCTTACCTGATCTGCAGAATTACTCACTCTAAATCAGTAGAGAGAAAACAGGCTCCTTCACAGTGATTTAATGGATCTAGTTTAAGAAACCCTTACATCTCTGCATCTTTCTAATGACTGTGAAGACAACCAGTTCATAAAAAAGACATTCTAGTGGGATTATCTTTATCTTTTATACTACAAATGTACTGCAAAGCCAAGATTGTTATCAGCAATCGCAGTGACATGAGCCAACTGTGCTTGTTGGCAAACTGCATCCAAAACCTCAAAAAACTATACTACTGTTTCTACACATCACTGTGCAGCAGTGTGACACATCAAAAGAACTAGGGTATCACAGGTATTCTTTGGAGCTCTCTACGATGTCTGTAGCTAAAGACCATGCTGATGGGCAAGGAACACATTATGTTCACTTCACATAATTGTGTTTCCCAAAAGATGTGGTGGAACACAGTCCTGGATCAGACATTTCCATTTTCAATTCAGTCAATTACTGTATCTTTGGAATGACAGCATTTTTTTGAAGACATAATCATAGAATCACAGAATGGCTTGGGTTGGAAGGGACTTAAAGCCCATCTGGTCCCAACCCCCTGCCAAGGGCAGTGCCAGCCAGCAGCTCAGGCTGCCCATGGCTCCATCCAACCTGGCCTTGAGAGCCTCTAGAGATGAGGCATCCACAGCTTCTCTGAGCAGGCCAGGTTGGATGGGGGCCCTGGGCAGCCTGAGCTGCTGGCTGCAGCCCTGCCCACAGCAGGGGGATGGGACTGGATGGGATTTAAGGTCCCTTCCAACCCAAGCCATTCTGTGATTCCATGAACTACAGCTATTGAAAACAAAAGCCTGACTGAAAGGCTTAAGTAGTAACTGCATTTCTCAGTCTGGTAGCTGCAAAGCTAATAAAAACAATATATACTTGAGCGTTTAAGTCCAGTTGCTTCAGAGCTGTGCAGAAGAAGAGTTTAATGACTTAATGATACTTAAATAGTTCATAAAATAACCCAAAGTGCTCTTTAACATGTATTAAATGCACGTTCTTTACTAGTTTATTAATATATCCTGTATTTTTCGCTATAGTCACTGCTTACAGTGGAAATAAAGCCATAAAACTACTTTAATCAAAGTTTGGTTGTAATGTGAAAAAAGAGACAGATACTGTGGTTTAAGAGCCCTTACAATTTTAAATAACATTAAATATAGGTAAGCAATTAGAAACCAAATCTGGAACCTCCCACAGTACTGCTGATATGTCCCCAGTTAAGCTTTATTTCACCCTTTACCACAAGAGCAAATGAGGTACAAAGCTGTAAAGCCAGCGAGAAGCTTTGTGTTAATGCAGTCAGCATAAATTCTACCTGCATCTAAGCAAATACATCCAGTATCACCTATACAAATCTTAGGGGCAAGAGAAAAATGGCATCCAGTGACAGACTATCAGAAATAGAAGGCTGTCCAAATTCCTGCTAAGCAGTGCATGGTAAGGACTGTGATGCACACCTGCTCTATAGGATTTGGGTGTGATGTTGAATATGCCACGCTTGGGCTCAAAGGCAAGAGTTTTCCTATAGAGTTTAGTGTAAACTCTTAAAAAAAACTATGTAAAGAACTTATTTGGTGGAACACAGTCCTGGGCCAGACATTTCTATTTTCAATTCAGTCAACTACTATATCTTTGGAATGCTAGAGCATTTTTTGAAGGCCTAATATTAGGAGCAGTCCTGTTTTTCACTAATGATCAACTAGTGAGTGCACAGTGCTATTGCCAAATAGGTCACTTTCAGATGACAACCTGATGGCCATTGACTTCAGGAGTGGAGGAGGACAGCTATGAAATAGTTTAATCCACACTTTCCTTCTACCCATGTTCTTCCATTCACTGTGTGTGCTGCTCTGTCACACTCCCTACAAAAGGAATGCCTTCTGATGACACCACATACTACTTATACTAAATCAGGGCTGATCAATGTCCACCCAATGGCTCTTGTTCTCTGTCAAGGCAGAATCTAATGTGCAGCCTACCAAGAGGCACAGCCTGGTCAAAGGGTTTTCAGCCTGAGTGCTTGTTGTGCCAGCAATGGCAGCCGTACCCACAGATAAAGTGCTGGAGGAGTGGGAGAGGTAAAATGACAGCCAGTAGAGACTGCAGCAAGTTGCCAAAAGGTGAGGTTTTCCTTGCAAAAATCTTCTTCGTCATTTTCCATTGCTTTTAGATACTGCAGGAGTTGAGAATCCACAGTTCAGAAACCCATAGAACTGGAAAGGCAAAAAGGAAGCTATGAGATGAGGCAGAAGATTGGACAGTTAGCTCACTACCCAGCCAGCCTGCTGACACACTGCTGGGTTGGTATACTGAGGAAAAGTGACACTGTTTGCTCATGAGACAGTTGTCAGTTCTGTGCCAACCACCTCACCAGGCAGATGAATGAGACTGGTGAAACTCAGCAACCTGAATTTCTTGTTACAAATCAACACAGGCATTGAGAAGGAAAACAGCCAGGAACTGATGGAAATACCCCAGTGAACTGGCACTATTTATTCAGTTACACTGAAGATGGTTAGATATGTAAAGGAACAGAAGTGGGAATTGTTACAAGACAATTAGCAGGAAAAGATGGTCATGTTGTTGAGCAATGCTCCTGGAAACACTGACCCCAGCAAAAGTCAGCAAGATTTTCCCTGCAAAGTCCTCAGATTCTGAAAGACAGTGAACTTCACACGGTTCTGATCTGATCACGGAATTGTTAAAGCTGGAAAAGACCTCTAAGATCACTGAGTCCAACCATCATCCCATCCCAGCATGCCTGCTAACCATGTCCTCCAGTGCCACATCTGCGGTACAAGCTCCAGGCAGGGTGGGCGAAGGGGAAAATAGCTTTTACTCAACATCAAAAACAGTGGTGAAAGCTTCAAGAAACTATTTTGAAAGTGGTTGTAATTACTAAAGTTAAATCAAGTTCATGTACTCATTGTTGCTGAAACTTCAATGATTGGTTGGTTGGGCAGCCACACTGCTTGTGACAGGACAAATTAGAGGTGCTAATGGGTCCTTCACATCCCAGGGAAGCTCTGCCCAGTTATAACCCGTTTGTACTTGGTTGGCATCTGCAACAATGCCTCACTGAGTAAGCAGGGATGGAAAAATTGTGCAAAGCTCCAGAAAGTTGAGGCTAGATGAACACTAAAACAAAGGACAAGAAAGGGAGATCTTCATAGGCTCAATCTCACACCTCATCAGTGGCACAACTTGTGGCTTCTGGATCCTGATGTAAGCTGTGGTAAACTGGTAGTGCTAGGACAGAGGGTGGTTCAGCTTTGCACAGTTCTGATGTTTCCATTTAATTATATATATATATTTGCAAACATTTTGGTGACAGACTGGGCCTACATGTAACCACACAGAGTTAATTGCTGAAACTGAAATCTCAGTCTGTTTTTGTTTGTTTATGTTCAGGGGCAAAGATTTCCTGCCAAATTTCATGTGAGATTTTGAAGAGGAGTTCCTGTTCTTCCTCACAAAAGATCGATGCTAAAGGGACTCAGCATGTTAATGCATCTTGAAGGAAGTTCATGTCTGTTCTTACTGCTCTGTACCATCATCACATATGGAAACAATTTTAGACACTGATTGAAAACATCGTATTTGCTCAGTGGGGCCCCCTGGAAAGGAGAGGCACCTGCAAAGCCACTCACTGCAGAACTACCTCCTACAGACTACACAACAGAATTTTGGTTGTTTTGACACAAATTCTTTTGTCAATAGCAAAACCAGACACATACTACATTTTTTAACTTCTTAGTAGCCCCAGTATTTTTCTAAACCATGTAGTAAGTGAAGATGTTAAGTGGACTTTTAATTACAGAAGCATAGCACAGCTGAGGCTGGCAGGGCCATCTGGGTGCCTCTGCTCCATTCCCTGCCCCAGCAGGGACACGAGCAGGGTGCCAGGGCCACATCCAGGCAGTTCTGAGATCCCCAAGGAGGAGACCTCACAGCCTCTGTGCAGCCTGTGCCAGTGCTCCGTCACTGCACAGCACAGAAGGGCTGCCGGCATTCAGAGGGAGCCTCCTGTGCTCCAGTTTGTGCCCATGGCCTCTGGTCCTCACGCTGGACACCACTGACAGAGCCTGGCTCTGGCATCCACCCTTCAGAGATTTATGAACGTTGATGAGATCCCCCTGAGTCTCCTCCTCTTCTCCAGCTGAGCAGCCCCAGCTCTCTCAGCCTCTCCTCACAGGAGAGGTGCTTCAGGCCCTTCATGATCCTTATGGCCCTTTGTTGAACTCTCTCCAGTATATCCATGTCTCTCTTGTACTGGCCGAGCTCTAGACACAGCTGGGGGAGAGGTTGGTTATTCCTCTCCAACTGTGACACCCTCAGCACACATAAAGTTAACTTTTCTTATTCCTATAGCATTTTTTTTGGAACATGTACAATCGTTTTTGTGTGTCTGGCCATCCATCTTCTTATCAGCAGCCAAGCCATGCAGAGGGAATGCACCTCTCCTTCCCACAGTACAGGATGTATTCATGCCACACTCTCAGGTGAAGAGCTGTTATCACTTTTAATGTGCCAGGAGTCAACGTGCTGACATCCACAAGGCAGAAGGTCAAATGGGCTTCATTGTAGTAGCGACAGGAAAGAGAGCAGATGAGGACACCAATGCCACCATCTGGGGCAATTCTGACTGACAGACTTTTACTCCTATTATGCCTTCTCCTGTTTCAAAATCTCTAATCCTGGTGTTAAGCCTCCCGCTCCAGAAGGACCATTGGTACCATCCTGCCCACGTTCTTTTCATAGAATCATAGAACCACAGAATGGTTTGGTTTGGAAGGGACTTTCAGAGATCATCCAGTACCAACCCTGCTGCCACCCACCAGATAAGGGTAAATGTTCATGTTTACCTTCCTTCAGCCACCTGAAGCCTGCATGGCTGTTTGTGCGACCTATGCCTTCCTCACCACCTGCATGAACACTACAGATTCCACTCCATTTAAAACCAGGTGGGTGGGTTCTCTGAAGGGCACAGCTTTTTCCCCTGCAGAAACACCAGCTAAGAGAGAAATGAAAACCAAGTTTTCTAAAATCAAGAGCAGGGGAAGGCCAGCACTGTCTGTATACCCTTTGGCACAGCAGGATGCAGCGCTAAAAGCTTGCTGCTGAAGTTCAGCAGCCCTGGGGAAGAGAGGCTTTTTGTTTGAGTCCGTGTGGGTGAAGTGTGTGGCTTACATCTGTACCAAAAGACACAGCACTGCCCTCCCCCAGTAATACAATAAATAAAAACAGCTCATGTTTGTTATTTGACAGTTATAATTGAAAGAAAAGGACCAGGCAATAGGGATCCTTTTTTTTGCTGATCTAGAAGACAAAATAAATAGATATGGTTACACTAGCCATGCAAGACAGGAAGGTAAACATAGGTAGACAGTACAAAATGCTGCTTGTTTCATGGAACCGGGCTGAACCAGCCCGTAAACTGTTGACAGGTAGGTAAAAGAATCATTGTTGGAGTTAACACACCCATTTTCCCTTCACATCACTGCATTACAGTTCTAAAGGTAAAAGCAAAGAGAGATGCTTCTCTTTCTTCCCCAGCTTCCCTTTCAGCTTGTATCATTTTCTAAGTCACAACCAGTCTGACCTGGGGCTGCAAGGTAACAGGGCATCAAGTTAAACCCAAATAACCCTCCAGGTAGTTTATTTAGAAAAAACAGCAAGGGAAAGTTTGCAAAATGGGTTCATATACCCAATATCTACCCATCAGCAACACTGAAACCACAGCTCCTCGGGAAGAGAAGATGGGGACAAGAGTTTACTGTAAGAGTTCAAAACATACCTTGCTCCAAAATTTGGTCATCTTTGGAGTCAGTTCCTCACTTTTGTTTGAATAAGATGTGCCCCGAAGAGCTGAGCATTCACCGAGCAGATCCTCAGCTTGCAGACTTGTGAGCTCCACTGATGTTAAGCACAATTCATGCTGTGGGCCCCAGCCTGTTGCAGCCATTATGGCTCATCAGGAAGAGAGTTAAATTACCTGAGTGCTCCCAAGTTTCTGCCACCATGTGAATTACTCTCTGTGGCATCAGAGCAAGTTCTGGCCAAAAAGCCTAGAGCCCAGGGTAATGTGGAACAGCACAGGCCAGCAAAGTTTCACACATCTTCTCCAGCTGGAACGAAATCTGGCAGTAGACTCACTCATCTTGCATGCCTTTCAAGAGGAAACGAGCATCTAACTTCCAGGAAAGAAAGTAGGAGGGCTTAAAGATTAGTAAAGTTGAAGCAGGAAAGTGAGTCTTTTTAGTGAGATGTGACATATGTTTGAAAATGTGCTTTAAAAAATTTGCTGCATAGAGGGGAACCAACAACAGGCTGAGCAGCCAGGAAAGCTGGGGTGGCATCATTTCAGACAACACAGCTGCAGAATGCTTGAACACCATTTATAGGATGTATAAAAAAAAAAATAATTTTCCCTGAAGAATTTACCTTCATGGAGGCAGCTCCTCAGATTCAGATTAATATTATGAATGGTGCTTACCTTTTTTGTTCTGTTTTCTTTTTTTTTTGCATTCTCTCTCAAGTGAAGGTGTACAGCTCTTCTCTGTGTAGCGGTGTGCTTTATAGAGAGAAACACCACAATCTCCCACCGAGAGGGGAGAAGCAAAGTACAAAATGGGGGCAAGGCTGACTGCTGCTGACCGCTGTATTTCATCACAAAGACCAACAGAGCCCTGCATCAATAGGAGATACAGGAACACAGCCTGCAGATCAAGAGCATTGCCAGTAGTGTGTTAAAAAGCAAAATGGATTTAGAGGAACCCAGAGATGACTCTTCATTTAAGACAGATCTAGAAAAAAAAAGTTTTGCTTTTGTTTATCCATCTTGACACTTTCCTTTTAAAAGGGTAAGTTTGGTCAATCCAGGTTTTTTAAATACTTCTTTATTCTTAAAAGAAACTGCCAAATATGATAACAGGACAATAAGTGTTGTTCAGCAATATCAGTTTCTGATCTAGAGAGGAAATTAATAAAAACATCATCGGCATTTTAAAAAATAAATATGACTAAACGTATGGAAAACAGAAAATCAAATTCATGTTCAACAACACAGACAGGTACAAATGCTGAAATGCTGCTGCACAAGGTAGAGGTAGAGGTAAAACAGACTTCTCAACCCCAGACCTGTTTTAGATCTGCTCCCCCATTCCCCTGCACACACTCCTGAAAGTTGTTGTCAATAATTTCATTTGAATCCTCCTCAGCCTCATCAGACTCCAAGCAGGTCCGTGTGCTCTTTCTAATGCTCCGAGCTGGAAAACTATTTCAGCTTTTGTAGAAATAAGTTGCTAAGCAACCTGGCCCCCGGGTTTTGCAACTGGTGCAGCAAGGAAAGTGGCAGGAAGCCGTGCTTTAGCTACAACAAAACAACAAAACGCTCTCCAGATGATGTCTCTAGGACAAGAGGATGGTAGAGCCCTTGGTAGGAATTGCAAGTCCACCAGATGCTTGGTGATGCGACCACAGAAGGAGCAGTGCCGTGCCTGGAGCTCTTCTGCTGAAGTGAGCACTGTCAGCAGGAACATCCCAAACACACAGGTGGGGAGAGCTGATTGCCTTACACTGGAAACTGACACGGTAAGACACAAACCAAGAACCCTCGGTACAAAGCAGCAAGTATCCTGACATCATGATGTATAAAAACTAAAAATTGCACCACACACGGATTCTCCAAACAAACTCAAGACAACCGAAGTCAGATCGTACAAACCGTTAGTTAAAAAAATACCTTCTTGTGTATTTTGAGAATAAATGGAAAGAGTCTTCGTGCAAATGTTCAACCTTGATCAAGCAGAGGACATAAATCGTTGTAAACACATGAGTTCCTTTCTCATCCGCCATAAGCACCCAGCATTATCTATCTTCTGCAGAATGATTAGGGTTAGGAAATCTGCTTCTTCTGCAAATGTCACCCTTCAAGTTCCACTGACGTATCAAGACACTACCGGCGTCATATCCCACAGCTGTTAATACAACAACATATCATAACACGGTGAGTAGTGGTGAAATATAACAACATAGTATATAAAACTAATTTGCACTTTTTAATTTCTGTTTAAGGGAGGCTACGTGCCCAGAGGGGGATGCACCAGGTCCAAAGTTTAATTTCATTTTCCAACACTCATATCAATCACTTGACATTTGCCCTTTATAAGCCAGGTTAATATCTGGTTTTAAGCTATAAAAACCCATACCACATTGCTAACTTGTGTGATTAGTAGTTGTAACACAATTACAAGATAGATCTTTTCTTGCATCTAAGCCTGGGGCCCCCAGCACAAGAAAGACGTGGAACTCTTGGAGGGAGTCCAGAGGAGGGCCACTAAGATGATCAGAGGACTGGAGCACCTCTCCTATGAGGAAAGGTTGAGGAAACTGGTCTTGTTTAGCTTGGAGAAGAGAAGGCTCTGGAGAGACCTCATTGGTGCCTTCCCATATTTGACGGGAGTGTATAAACAGGAGGGGGTATGACTGTTTGAGAGGGTGGATAGTGATAGGATAAGGGGGAATGGTCTTAAACTGAGACAGGGGAGGCTTAGGTTAGATATTAGAAGGAAGTTTTTGACTCAGAGGGTGGCGACACACTGGAACAGGTTGCCCAAGGAGGTTGTGGATGCCCCATCCCTGGAGGCATTCAAGGCCAGGCTGGATGTGGCTCTGGGCAGC